TATAGAGACATTATCTGTATAGTGCTCAGTTCAGCGTCTTCAGTGATCACAAGAGTCTGAAGTACTTATTTGATCAGAAGGAGCTGAACATGAGGTGGAGGTGGTGGATGGATTTTCTGAAGAATTGTGACTTCCAGTTGATGTATCATCCTGGTAAGGCCAATGTTGTGGCGGACACGCTGAGTATGAAATCCATCCACATGTATAGTATGATGGTGAGAGAACTGGAGCTGGTAGAGGAGTTCAGAGATCTGAACCTCTGTGTGGAGTTATCTCAGGATCACATTAGTTGTGGGATAATTACCATAACTAATGAGTTCTTGAGGCAGGTTGGACAGAAATAGTTGCAAGATGTCGAGCTGGTGAAACTTCTTGGTTTGCTGGAAACTAAGAAGGCTATTGGTTTTGAGCTGGGCAGAGATGGAATCTTGAGGAGTAAGGGCAGGATTTGCCTACCCCATGATGCTGAGCTGAAGAAAGCTGTGTTGGAGGACTTGCTGAGGGCTTGTGTGTTAGACCACTTGGGAAGTTGGGAGGAAGTCCTACCGCTGATTGAGTTCACGGGTAACAATAGCTTTTATGCTAGTATTGGGATGGCGCCGTTTGAAGCCTTATATGGCAGAAGATGTAGGACTCCTCTGTACTAGTATCAAGATGGTGAATCAGTAGTCGTGGGATTGGAATTCATCCTATAGACTACTGAGGAGGTGAAGCTGATTCAGGAGAGGATGAAGACTGCTAAGAGTAAGCAGAAATCATGCTGATAAAAGGCGTAAGCCTTTGGAGTTACAGAAGGGGAACATGTATTTCATGTGTCCCTGTTGAGGAGGTAGCTTCATGACCCTGGTCACGTAGTGGAGCTGGCTGATGTGCGAGTGAAGGAGAATCTGACGTTTGAGGAGTTTCCAGTAGCAGTGGTGGATCATAAGCTGAAGGAGTTGAGGGGCAAGTCCATTGCTCTGGTGAAGGTGTTGTGGGATGCAGATACTGGTAAAGCTACTTGGGAGGTGGAGCAGCAATGCAGAGAGCGATACTCGTTTCTTTTCCCAAGTGAGTCTGTTTTCGGGGACGAAAACTCTTGTTGTTGGGGAGGTTGTGAGACCCCTTTTTATTCTCCCCCCCCCCTTTCTTTTTCCCTCTCACCCACATTGCTGGCTCATTTTTTCTTGTTCACTCTCAACCCTCACACTCAATTCTTGCTTACGGAGGTTCTTCTTGGTGATTGTGGTGGATAGGTGCTGACTAGGTTTCGAGAAACTTGCTGGCATTCGGGTTCTTCCTCCTTCCTCCTCCGTTCACCATCCTTTCCTAATCTTCTACTTATTTGATTCTTCCCGGAGCTCGGAGCCGTTTATCCAAGGTAAGGGAAGCCAGTACTTTGATTTGTTTGGCTAAAAACGAGTTCTAAGAACTCTTTTGTGGTATAATGTTTGTTACATCTGAGCTGAAAACTGCTGAAAATTGGTGAATTGGGGTTCTTCGGGTTTTCGAGGTCCTTGCGGAAATTGTGAGAAATTCTTGATTTGTGTTTGCATGTCGAAAATGAGACGTTTTCGTTGATACTGGGTGAGAATGGGAACTTTTGGCTGGATTGCATGTTGGTTTTCTGATGATTTTCGCAGGTTTTGATGAAATTTTCGTAGTAGGCAGGGGTCCCTGTTTGAATTTGCGTCGGGCGCAAATTCAAAAGGGGAAATCCTTGGGTGAATCGCGCATTTGATTTTCAGAATTTGACTTTAGAGTCTTCATGAAAGTTGTAGCCTTGGATGTTAGCTTTCCAATGGCGCTGGAATCACTCAAAAAGGAGTTTTAGAACTCCAGATATGGCCGTTTTAGTGAAGAGGGGTTAAGCTGCCAGCATTACTTATAGCTGTTGCGGTTTTTATCAGTTTTAACAAGGTAGATGAAGGAATTAGGACTTGGTGTCTTCAAGAGAGTTGTAGTAAATCTTCTTATCTTTCATATGAGATAGGGATGAGTGTGGTATGAGTAGTATAACTCCTAATGTGCTATTTTCTGTGAAGGTTGCCATTTCACATTTAGTGATTTGGTTAGGTTGAAAGTTGTTCTAAGTACTTAGGTTGATTGGTGTTGTTTGGGTGGGTAATTTGACAAGATAGATGAGTTATAAACAAGGTGGATGAGCTGTATTATGTGTAGAATATGTTGTATGTCATGTATGCTATTAATGAGGTAACACCATGATGTAATAGATATATATTGTCGTGCTGAGTTGGGCTGACATGGATGATTTTCATGTTGAATTAAAATATTGTTGTACTATAGACTGTTGAGCTGAGTTGTGAGTAGTAAGCTGTGTTGTATACTACCTAGCTGTGCGGGATGCTGATATTGGTGTACTGCGCTGAGCGCGACCCTTGTCGCGTTGGGCGTGAGACTCCTTGGGAGTCTCTGCCTTGTGGGCGCCGGGCGCAATTGGTATTGCGCCAGGTGCGAGTGAGCCTTGAGCTCTCTGGCTGGGTTCCGCCAGGCGTGGGCGTGCTTGCGCTGGGCGCGCTGGCCCCCTGGTGCTCTCTGGTTGCACTGCGCTGGGCGCAACCACGAGTGCGCCGGGCGCGGAGATGTGACTTCATTAATGGATGTTAGAGGTTATTTATGTTCAGTTCAAGTAAAAGCTGTTGATTATAATTTGATGACTTGTGGATAACGCTGCTTGTTGATGTTGAGTTGTGCCAGTTGTAAATTGTTGTAAGTTGCTATGTTGAGTTGTATCAGTTGTAAATTATTGTAAGTTGATATGTTGTGTTGTATCAGTTGTATGCTGTCGTAAGTTGATTTTGTTGAG